TATATATATATATATATATATATATATATATATATATATATATATATATATATATATATATATATATATATATATATATATATATAGTATGCTTTTATTTTTATATAGAAATATAAAAATAAAAGCATACTAGGTTGTTTTTTTTTTATCTTCCTAAAAACTGTAGTGTGCACAAACTACAAATAACAACTAAAATTCAACTTGTATTGGTCAACTTTTAAACAAAAAAGTTAAATAAAATAGTGTTAATAACCTTTCATATTTTTCTTTTCCGTGTCCGCCAGACAAAATTAATCGTTCATTTTCAAGCATAAGGGAAGACTTTTCTTCTTTAAGTAAACGTATCTGTAAAATGTAAAATTATGCAGACTTTGTAAAAACCACATTAAAATACTAATAATAATAATTAAACAATTACATTATAAATAACATCTTAAAATAATACTTCTTTTTATGGTCTTATTTCTACTAGTTAAAAATATATTTATTTTTACAATATTTTTGAGGGAATATTGATCCTTTTAATTTCAAGTATATTGTTATTACTATTATTAGAAATAATAGTAATTACAGTCTTGATATAAGTCCATTAAATTAGGGGCTAATATTTTATCATTATATTACTTTTTATATCATTACTAATTATGTTTATGATGGCAAAGTGAATTTCTAATTTATTGAATATAACAATCTTTACCAAATATTTAATACAACATCTTTAACAAATATTTAATGAGTCAAGCTCTACTCTATATATTATAAAAAAATAATTAGGTAACCTGTTCCTCTAAATCATGAATTCTTTGTGCAGCATGGTCATCATGAATTCTTTGTGCAATGTGATCATCATTGATAAAACTTTTTAACTGAAAAATGCATTTGCTATTCAATTGATTATTCATTGACAAGACATAAAAGAGAGCAAACATTGTATTGAATAAAAAAAAGAATAAACAGCAATTTAATAACAAAATTTTAAGATTTAGAAAAAACTCCAAACGGTTTTATTAATTTTAAATTTCTAAGAGCAAAATTTAAGTTTGAAACTGTTCAAGGAAAAAACAGATTAGAGCATAATTAAGTTTTTTAATTTTTAAATGATAATTAACGCTAAAAAAAAAAGATATGATGATATCAAAAATATTAATTCAAACTATAATTTTAACTTAAACTTAAAAAAATTAAAATCAAACAAAAGTTATAAAAGCAAAACTATTTTTTTTTGAGGTAGAGATGACTTTTTTTGTTTATTATTTCTTTTTTAAAACTTTAAAACCAAAAGACTTTAAAAGCTGATTTATTATATTAGACCATTCTTGACTTTTGCATTTAATAAACGCTTATTAAACAAATTAGAAATTAAGAATTAAAAAAAATACCCTTCCATCTAGAGTATCTTCCTTCTGCAAGGTAGAATCATAAATTCTTGAATGCTCTTTAACTTGCAGTAACTAGATTTGACAAATATAAAATTTTTAAAAATAACAAAGATTTAAATTATATTTAAACTTGTAGATTTTTGAATTTGGTTTTAAAATCTTTCCTAAATATGAAAATAAAAAAATCTATTTTATCAATTAAAAAACAAATTTTATCAAATAAAAAAATATAACCTTTAGGTATATATGAATATAACCATATCTATTAAGAGGCCATCCATTAATGATGTCAGTAAATATAGGGGGGAGGGGGTACTGAAAAGTTTGACAAGAATTGCCAATGAGGAGGGGGTGTTGAGACAAAAATGATATCAATTTAAGAAAAAAAAATTCAAGTTTATACGAGCAGATTTTAAAGGTATTTACATCAACAATGTGGTATAGAAATGGCATATTTACTTTGTGGGGACTTCGATGTAAGTTTCCTAGAGAAATGAAATTAATTAAAAATTTACCAAGGTTTTGTTATTGTATTACCATTTGACAGAAAATCTAAATGTTTACAAATATTAACAATTTGTATATAAATTTAACAATCATTATTCAATCCCTAGCAGATTATTAAATGTACTTCAAACTAAACACATACAGTCATTTTCCATTATTTTAAATACAATTGTCATTATTATCGAAGATCGCTTCAACAACAACATGGGAAGATGATGAGTGATTGAATTAATATTATTGATTTAGAATAAAAAATTTGTGTAATTAGTTCATCATTTGATGAGGTATCAACTGTTCTACAGCGTGAAAAAAAAGAAATCAAAGGCGAGCGGTCAAATTAACCGGCTAATACATAAAACTGACAGTCAAATTTTTTTTTGGGCGGTCAAATTTTTTTTTTCTTTGATAAAATTTTTATTTCAGTAATTATTCTTCATGACATGTAAATAAAATAAGAAGAAAAAAACGTCATTTGTTAAATGCATTTTGCAACAAAAAATTATGAGAAAAATAAATAAAAAGATATAGAGAGAGCAAAAATAAATTTAGTGCTAAAATCATCAATTATTGTATATTATATTATTATTTAAATAATAATAAAATAAGAACTTGAATTATTTAAGGAAAAAAACACTCAATAAAATTGATCTCAATAACTGAAGCAAAAAATTAATATATATAGTTTACGCCATATATAATACTCGTCGAAGCATTAGCGAGTATTAATAAACGATGATGAATTTCACATTGCAGCGATGCGAATTTTAATTCGCTTCGTTCTAACGAAGTGAATAAAAGCAACTTTATTAATTATTTCTACTTTAAAAAGTAGCATATAAGCAATAAAATTGTTTTAGACACTTTATCAAAGTTTTACGGTGTTATAAAATCAAAAAAATTTAAAATTGGGTTTAACAAAAGATTTTTCTGATTTTTCTGACTAATCTGATTTTTCAACCGGTCAACCTTGACCGGCTAGAATTCTTTTCGGGAGGTCAAAACAGCAATTTCAGTCATTTCGGGCGGTCATTGACCGTTGACCACCCATTATTTTCCATGCTGGTTCTATAATATAACTTTCTGAGATCTACTATTATATAATTGTATGATTTAACCAGAAAAAAATCAATGGTTTTAACACATATTTTTGATGTTATTTTAGGGGAGAAGGGTACAAAAACTGACATTATATATAAATGGGGGGTTGGCCATAAACTGACAGAGTTTGACAAAGGGGGAAGGAGGGTTCAAAAAGTTGAGAAAAACGACATTATTTACAGACAGCCCCTAATAAATTATCTAGTATTCACATATCACATACAGCAAACTTTCCCAGGAAAAGCATGCGGTTTTTCATCTTGTACAACCACGAAAACGTTTTTCAAGTTAGAGAACGTGATCACGGCCGTTTGCGCAAGTTATATTATATGCGTTACTAAAAAATTGTTTAAAATTTTAACTACATAAGAAATTAAAGTAAACTTAAATAGAAAACAATAATAATAGTTTAAATAATTTGTGTGCTGTTTTTATTTTTGTTTTTTCTTAGTGGTTATTATTATCGGCAACAAAATTCATTAGGTCAAAGCGGGAAAAAAAAAAAAAAAATGGTTTTAGGCATTAAAGGGACTACCAAGCCCTGAGACATGTTGTGTTCATATTAAAGAAAATGTTTAAAAAAAACGTCTGAGCAAATTTTTTTTTGATTAAAACTAATTAATAAATGTATACCAAGAAAAACAAATCTTGTTTTAGTTGAAGCTCGTCTTCTCCATTTTCTGCGGTATTTTGAGTATGTAAAATAAACGCGATTTTCCAGGCGCATTATACAGACTTGATAATTTATTCAAGCGTGTTTAATTCATAGGAGTTTTAGTGCATGACGTCATAGATTATTTTTTTGTTTTTTTAAAACACCAATTGTTATTTTTTACATACAATTTCCGAATCATATTCATTTTTATTATATTTTAAAGTTCTAAAATGTGTTTGTAAAAAAATTAAAAACAAAATAGTATTTTATTTGCGCAACTTTTTTTAAATAATCGTCTAGACCACATGTATTTTGATTTCTTTTGTTATAAGTTTTTCTTTCAAAATATTAGATAAAATAATTTTTAACCTAAATAATAATGCACTTTTATTAATTTACTTTGTAAATATTTAAAAAAAAAATTATTAACGCATTTATTCTCTGATTTTGAAAAATGTACTTTTTGGTATTGAGGTGATCTTATTTCATTATAAAATGAAATAAAATTAGAACAAACAATTCTATTGGTTCAAAAAACACGCTGACTAAGCGAAATAAAGTTCTAGAGTATTCTGTTGAAATGTTTTAGGAATTGTATTATTTACGATTTGTTGCGTTTTGAGATATCTAGCATAAAGTTTTTTAAGAATATATTATCAAATGAACTATTACTTTAGTATTATGGCCCATTCTCGGAGCCACATCTGTAAAGCCGTAAATCTTTACAAATACAAAAATAAATGTTTTATAATATATATTTTTTAAATTGTCAAAATTTTGAAAGTTGATTACAAATTATATATTTTATTAGTATATTCTTAATTTTTATATTATTTCTTAGTGCTTGGTTTAATTAATTGTTCGTAAGATTTTTAAAAAACTAACGAACAATTAATAAAATAAACTTTTAATAAAAGTAACTATAGTTAGCTATTTTAGTAAAATTTAATAGTAAAATTTTTAAAAAATTTCTAGAATGTTTCCAATGACATCATGCACTAAAACTCCTATGAATTAAATGCGCTTGAATAAATTATCAAATCTGTATAATGCGCTTGAAAAATTGCGTTTATTTTACATACTCAAAATACCACAGAAAATGGAGAAGACGAGCTTCGACTAAAACAACAAGATTTGTTTTTCTTGGTATACATTTATTAATTAGTTTTAATCAAAAAAAATTTGCTCAGACGTTTTTTTTTAACATTCTCTTTAATATGAACACAACATGTCTCGGGACTTGGTAGTCCCTTTAAAAAGGATGACTTTCCCATATTTTAAGTATTTTTTTTTTAAGGATGAAAGACAAAATATGTATCGTCATCTGTTTATAAAATATATTTGTATAATTATAATGTAACAAGTTTATATCAAGAGTTAAATTATACAATCACGATTTGCAAACTCTGGTAAAATATTAGGTCTTTAAAATTTTAGTTCATGCAAAGCTGTGTACTTTGTTTATAAGGAGCAAATTATTAAAAGTTTGCTAATGAGAAAGTTACAAAAAACAAAACAAAAACAATAAACTTACAACTACAAAAGTAATAACATTTTAGTCACTGACTGCATTATAAAAGTAATAAAACTATAATAGTGTTATTACATTTATAAAGCACTTATTACTTTTAAAGTTCATTCTTTGTTCAAACAATATTATTAATTCCAAACATTTATTAAAGTAGAAAAGCATCTAGAAAAAATAAAGTGGATATTCAAATATTATTAAAAATTTCAGGAACTTACACAGATCACTTAAACAACGTTATAAAAAGTACTTTATGAAAAGTAAAGCATTATGAAAAACATTACGTAAAAGCGCGCATTAATTTTAAAATCAACCAATAAAAAATTTTTATTGGGTAATTTTAAAATTAAAACGCGTTTTTATGGTCCATTAGTAACATTTTTCATAATGCTAAATTTTTAATATGATAAGTTTTCATAAGTTTTTATAAGTTACTTTAGTTTTAATATTATTTGAACATCCACTTTATTCTTCTAGATACTTTTCTACTTCAAATAAAATTTGGGAAATGGTTGTTTGAACAAAGAATGAATTTTAAAAGTTATAAGTGCTTTATAAAAGTAATAACACTATTATAGTGTTATTACTTTTGTAATGCAGTTAGTGACTAGAGTGTTATTACTTTTGTAATCGTAAGTTTATTATTTTATTTTTTATTTTTTCACTAACAAATTTAAGTTGATTCTCCTCTTAAAAACAAGGAACACAGTTTTGTATAAACTAAAATTTTGAATACTAGATATTTTTCCAGATTTTGCGTTTTGCTATCCTCTTAAAAAAAAAAATTAAGAAAAGGAAAATCATTATTTTTATTGTAGACTTCAAACTGTTTTTTTTTTGCTTCGCCTTATCTAATTTTGTTGCTGAATGTAACTCTAAAGAAACAAAAATAAAAACAGAACACAAATTATTTAAATTGTTAATTTGTTTTTTATTTTTTTTCTATTTCAAATTCTTTTTATTTTGCTAGTTTTGTTTTTTTTGTTTTTTTAATTTTTTCATGTTTTCTAAAATAATATAATCGCGTGTGGTCATACAAGACGAAAAACCGCACGCCTTTCCTGGGAAGGTTTGTACGCATATCTTTATGAAAGCATCGTATGAAAACTTTTTTATTTTTTTAAAACTAAATCAAAGCTAAAAAAAATAATAAAAATAAAAAATTTTTTTTCTAAAAAGCCTTTAGTTTTTTAGTTTGAATAAATTAAATGAAGGCTGAATAATGAATAAATTAAATGAAGGCTGAATAAAAACATTAATTTGAAAAAATTAATATTAAATAAAATTAAATTAAAACTCATTCTTGTTTGACTCATCATTCAGCAAAGTCTCATTAATTTACTGTATCTGTCCCTGCATGCTCTAAAAACTTTTATTCATCTAGATTTTTTCCCCACACTTTAACCCTTTAGAACTCTCTCCTGACTTAATAATTTCTTGACTAATACAACATAAAACTTTTCTTCTGTCAACTGTTTCCTTGCTCTATAACTGTATTCTTTGTTTTTTAGTAACTCCCAATTTAATAGTGGTTGCTTGCAGCCTTGTTGGGGTGAATCAGATTTTTTTTTTTTTTTAACTATGTACTCAGAACATTTTGCTGTCTTATTTCATAAACTCTTCTAAGTCATCAAGTATGCTAAAAACCTGACTTTTTTCAGTTAGTTATCAATTATTTTTAAGTATGATGTTATATCAGAAAAACAGTTAGAAGTGTCTGCATCAATCATAAGTAATATAGCAATATAAATATCAAACAATAGCAATAACAAACATAAACATTTTTACATTTTGTCTTTCTGCATGCTTTTGGAATATGATTTTTAGACAATTTATTAGTCAAGATAATGTAATTTTAATCTAAAAAGATTAATTACTTGATTGTTATTGCAAATTATGGAAATAACTTTTTAAATCTATTAAACATCACGCTGTTCAACATATTTAACTACGTCAACAACACTGTAGTGGAAATTAGAATCCAATTAGGTACAAATCTGAAAAATTAGATATTAACATTTTTTATTCATTGAATTTTCCACCTTTATTTTTAATCACAGCTGAACCAATTTGGGGCATTCTAATTAATATTTTAGCAAAATATTCGCTAAATAAATAAAATGCTTGGCTTGGGGATAATAAGCCAGGAAACGCCTAATTTTCCTGACTTATTCCCATAACCATTACATTACCTGCACCATGTACACTGTGGCAAAGCTCATTTGTTCTTAGATCGCCACACAAATACATTTTTATTTCTTTAAATCTCAAAGTGTTTTAGTCCAAATTTTCTCTAATGTTGTTTTGTTAATTCAACATCATCTAACACATCTTTGGAGACCAGCAGAATACAGTTGTCTTTTAACTGTTGCAAGTGACACTTTTATTGAACGAATTTAATTTAATTTTGCTGCAATTTAGAGTGCTGTTAAAAAAAGATTTTGCTTTTTAAAAAAAATGCAAGAGAATACCTTACTAAACAATTTTTCAAAAAAAACATTTGTTAAAATAAAATCTATTTTGATAAAATAATGAAAGTACTGATAACAGTTGGGAAAAGTGGCTATGCAACCATGGCAAGAGTGGCTATGCAACCATGGCAAAAGTGGCTATGCAACCATGGCAAGAGTGGCTATGTAACGGTGGAAAGAGTGACTATGCAAAAAAATGAGAAAAAGTGACTTTTAAAATAAAGTTAACCAATTTTATTTTCAAAACCTTAATATATATCATTACCTGTTGTATAGAGTTCATGACAGATAACTGCACACTTTCTTCTAGTGCCATAATTACTTGAATGTATTGCTCCTTCTCTTCACAATTTATTGCACAACCCAAAACTAATTGTAACATTTTACCAAGTTCTTTTTTATCACTTTTTTCAGCTAAATAAATTCAATAAATTGGATTAAAAACAAAGTAATGGCTAAAAAAATTGTCATTAAGTATATAAAATTACGAAATACAACAAAAAAAGATACTTTTCATAATACTTTTGAAAAGAGAAATTTTAAATTTATATTAATTTTTATAAACATTGTAAAAACTGGTATGGAATTCAAAATTAAATTAAATCAACTTAGTAATTAACTAATGCAGACATGAACATTTTGGACCTTCATGGACCTTCATAAAATATGGAGCACTGCAAGGTACAGTCCTGTGTCCAAAACTCTATAATATCTATATGAGACTACTATACAGATATCTGAACATAATCAACATTAAAACTTTTGGACACTCAGACGACCATTTAACTCTAAGAGCATACCTCCCTTCATCTTAATATAATACACTAGTCATGGATATAATAAAATGTCTTCAATACATATCTAAATGGATGAGTGAATCATTTTATGCATTGACCAATCCAAAACAAAAAAATTATTTATGGCGCCACAATCAAAATGGCAAAACAATCAAAAAGATATTATTATTAAAGGTACTTTTGTTACCAATGGCATGACACTTGACAATAAATTATCTTCGAAAACAAAAATAAATAAGATTGTTATAAACTGTTACAATACAATAAACAAAATATCCAAAATAAAAGATTTGTGTAATATGTTAACTAATACTTTCAAAGCAAGATTATTGCCTTTGGAATGGAAGACACTCTGCTCAAAATTGTACAGCAAAACTAATATTAAAAATCAGAAAAGAAAACCGAGTAAATAACCAGAAATGTAACAATTTGCATTGGGTAAAAATTAGAGAAAGTATCTAATTTAAGGTTCTTTTAATTAATGCATAAATCTATTATGCAAGAAGTACTAATGCCATTATGTAATTCAATTTACTTCTCAATGTCAGAAAGAACATTAAAATTAAAGCAAACAAAATACAGTAATCATTTTGGTAATGAAGCATTATTACATTATGTTTCTAAACTTTGGAATATACTTCCAAGTATGAACTGTGACAAAATAAAATACCTATTTATAAGAAAAAACTAAAATCATATTTAATGGTGAATGGTGAAATATATTTAAATCATATTTAATGTTGAATGGTGAGATATTTTATTAAATAGACTTAAAACAGACTTAACAAATAAATAAATTGTACCTATTAAAGAAACATCAGGCATCTTAAAGTTAGAGAGGTCTTGAAACAAAACCTAAAATTTTTTTAAATGTGAGCATATATATATATATATATATATATATATATATATATATATATATTAGAAATAGAAATAAAAGAAATAAAATGCTATTTTGATTTTTTACCAAAAAACTGAAATAAAAAATAATTAAACAACCTCATTGTAGTAATCAATCATTCCTTTCAAAACTTTCTTTAAATTGCTCAGCTAATTAAAAAAATATTTTTTTGATATAAAGACTATATTTTTATATAAAACTTTTTATTGTTAAAAATACTATTATTAAACTTTTATTATTCAAATTATTATTCAGGGTTAAACCTAGATGTGTTTTGGTACTGTTTTTGTTGTATGGGCACCCAAAAAAAAGCATCCAAAAATTTACAGCTTTTTTCTAAATAAAATTATTGTTAAAAAAGTATGTAGATATTTTTGTTTTAAATGCAGTATTTAATACATAACAAATTTTTTTGTTTTTTTTTTATTTAGCTAACTCACTATTCTATTAGAAAAATATAAAAGATTAATAAAATTTGTCTGATGTAATATTTTCAAAACTATCGTTTGGTTACTAATAAATTCTTATTAAAAAAAAAATGACTCACATTTTAAAACAAAATAAAAATTAATCAAAAACAAATATCCATCAAAAAAATGGAACAAACTTTAAAAAGTTCATGCAAAATGAGATTTCATTTAAAAAATCAAATATTAGGAAGATTAAAAGAAAAATTCTTTTTTTTTAGAGATTAAAGCAATAATTGTTTTAACTTGAAACATTTCAAATTTTTTTATATTTAAAATAAAAATTTTCTTTACTAAATAATTAGTTGACTAAACAATTAACAATTTAAATAGTTTAAAAAAAAAATTGATTTACCAAAACTAAATACATGTACATAAAGTTTTTTTTTTGCCTGATTTTAACATTATATATCTTTCATAAAATGACATTTTAATGCAAATTTATTCGTAGGAAATTCTTTTACAATGATGTAGGCATTATTTTAGAAACCTCTAAAATACATTTTAAAACATCTCTTTAGCTTTGGGTAAAATTCATTGAACACTGATAGTGAAATTTTAAAATCAATATCTCCAAATAATTTCTGGGTTTGTCATTGTTATTTATAAAATTTTACAAATTCTATATAAATATCACTTGACTTAAACATAATATTAAAAAAAAATGTATATATTGATAACATTTTGCATATTTATAAGTTTATAATTGATTTGCAGCAATGCAGAAGATATTGTTATATTATTACCTTTAGTCTGTAATTGTCAGGTGAAATATCATGTTTAAGCTTAGATATCCAGTCTGTATCAAACCATTCAGCAGCTCTAAAATAATAGTTAAAGATAGCAGCAATAAAAATATACTATATCTTAGGTATGGGAATTATACAAAATAGTAGCCACTTTTCCCAACTGTTATCAGTACTTTCATTATTTTATCAGAAGAGATTTTATTATACAAAATAACTTAATCTTATACTTCACCTAAGTAATAACTCCCTTATTTCACTGTAGTAACAACCCTAATACTTCACCATAGTAACAACTCTCATACTTCAACATAGTAACAACTTTGATACTACACCATAGTAGTAACTCTCACACTTCACTATTGTAAGAATTCTCATACCTCGCAAATTATTTGTGTAAGATTAATTACCATCTGCTGATTCCAAAAAGTGGTGCTATCCCCTATAGAATTCTCAATACAATATGAAATATTTCATCCAATCCCTTAAAAATATTTTTTTAAATTTTATTTCTATCGTTTCTATTATCTGAGCTATAGAACCATTAACCTAGTTAGCAAAACAAGTCAGACTAGCTCATATAACAGCAGCTAATCAAACACAGAAAATGATGCAATGTGGTAATTATATTGGTGTAAACTTCCTGCTATCAATTGAAAATCTAAGCAAAAGACCACCTTAAATTTTAATTATTTTTAATTAGATTTCAGACATTATTATATATATATATATTTTTTTTTAAACCAATAATTGAAAATATTTCAGCCAAAACTTGAATTTATATCATTAAGAAGTTACAATGATTAAAATAAAAAACTGTTACACATATTTATACACACACAACTTCTCCTAATAAGACATGATTTAACCTAAATCCATCATTAAGACATAAGTATAGTGTTGTTTGCATGTACTTTTTTTTTTTAATTCTATAAAGGTAAAGTGGGGTAACAAGATAAAGTGGGGTAACATTGACACATCTTTAGAAAACAATCTTTATTTTTAGCTGTGAAAATCTAAATTTGGTATACAATATTTTTATATGTTTACAAATGACTGCTATAAATGTACATGTTTACAAATATATGTTTACAAATGGCTGCTATAAACTGATGAAGAATTTAAATAGTTATCTAATATTATTGATAAAAAATTAATTATGTTGTTGGGCTTCAACTTCAACATATGGGGTAACATTGACAGTAGTATGTTTTATGCTGCAAATATTAAAATTACATTATAAGGGGTAACACTATCATTAGAATTTCTACAAACAAAATAGAGAAAACATTTTTAATATATATTGGCACCAACCTTTACTTTGCTTTTAAAAATTAGAAGTAGGCCTATGTAAAGTAAAGTGGTGTAACATTAACAAATTTTTAGAAAATATATTTTTTCTCTTGTGATAAAAATTTTGTAATGCCAAGTATTTTTACATGTTTACCAAAAATATTACTGCCATGAACTGATAAAAGAACTAATTAGTCACAGAATATTGATAGATAATTGATTTTGTTGTTAGTTTAAATCTTGCAGCATTGTAATTTTTTGTTGGATTTATTTGTGATAAACTTTTTAATGTTTTTTTTAATTTCTGTAACAACAAGATTTTTCACATCTTCAGTTTCTAATATTTTATTCTTACCAGTATTATGCAACATTGTTAGGTGTGGATTTTAAAATTCTGAGAGTGTTGACTTTTAGATCTGTTGAGATTTAATATCATTTGGTACATTTTTTTTAAGATGAACTCTTTTAATTTTTTAAGATGAACTCTTTTAATTTTGCTTTGTTTGATTTCATTTCTGATTTCTGGTGACTTCAGCATTTCTGCCAATGCTACACTAAAACTGAAATATGCGTTTTAAAAAAAATGCTACAAAAAATGCTTAGTATTTAGAAATAACACACTAAAAACACATTTAAAATGATATTATAGTATGGTTTTAGTTATCTTTTAACTAAAGTTTTTCAGCTTTAAAAAAAACTAGAAATTAGTTTAATTTATGCCACCATATTGTGTTGTTATTTATTACTTACTACTATGTGGATCAAAAATAGTTTAATTTGTTTATTCAACATCTAGCTTCAACGTCTGTTAAAATAATTTAAACAATAGTCAAGGGGCGATGGGTAAAAATATTTCATATCAAATTCTTATAATGTTAAAACTAATAAATAAGTAAATTAAAAAATGTATTTATTTACATTTGAGTGAGAGCTTCTCCAATAGCTATTCCATCTGATAATTCATAAGCTGTTTGATGTTTGGCTTCTAACCCATCAAAAGTATTTAGCTGTTAAATAAAAATTAATTTATATCTACATCTACCATTTCTATGTTTAGATAACATGCTGTCTAAATGTAGAAATTATTAACTTTAAGAACATTACAGTTTAATTTTATCATTTTAATTTTGTTATTTTTGAATATATTTGTGAGTAATAATATAACTTGTATTCTGATAATATTATATATTATATTGAACTATTACCTTAATACAATAATAATTTTATAAAGTATTATAAGTATGCATGAAATGCTTTTAATTGATTTTCTCTTGCTCTGTTAAAATTTCAATTGCTCTGTTAAAATTTCACTTACTCTATTTAAATTTTATTAAAAAAAAATTAAATAGATTAATAAAGATAAAAAAAAATTAATAAATTTTTAAAGCTTTAAGAAGTTGCTATAGATCTGACTTTTACAAAGAGATCTTAAATGCAAAAAAAAAAAAAAAAAAAAAAGCATAACTACATAAAAATTTCTACAATAATAATTACACTGGTTTACATGAAAAAAACAGCAAGTAAAACATTCTGAAAGCTTCTTAAAAATAAAAAACTTTGATGTGCTGGATTTGTGTTTAACAGGTAGGTAAGAAGAATTTTAAAATATTTTAATGACTTATTTTGCCAACGCTGGACAGGGGCTGTAGCCAATTTTTTGCAAAAATGTACAATATAATATACAGACCATGATATGTAATCATATCAATATGTTGTATGCAATCAACCAATTAATGGTTGGATTTTATAATAAAAGTTTGAATGAATATTTAAATGGTGTTGTTTGGGCATTTCAGATTTTAATTAACTAATTGATTCTAATTCCAAAATTAGATTACGAAAGCCAAAACATTGTTCTATTATTCAGTAGACAGTTTCTGCTATGTTTGTGGATGATTTGATGCCTTATGTTATTTGTAAACCTTGTGAAGCAACTCTTGGCAAGTGGTTTATTGGTAAAGTGAAAAGTATGCCATTTGGGGAGTTCATAATATGACGCGAGTGCTCAAATCATGTGACAGACTGCTATTTTTGTATGAAGAATGTTGTTAGATTTAACAAGAGGAGCAGGCACAAGATTCAATATCCTAATGTACCATCTTCCCTAAGGCCTGTAGGACACTGTGAAGACATTTCTATGCCTACTCCTCCTACTCAGCTAGATGATTTTTAAAGTATTGACAGCTCAAGTTCTAAAGAAAGTGGTGATATTTATGATTCTAAATTTAGTGCAGAAATCACACTAAAACCAACTTACTCAGGATTATTTTGATGATCTAGTTTAAGATCTTGACCATCCAAAGTCATCAGCTAATTTGCTTGCATCCTGCTTACAAGAAGGGAACCTTCTCACTCCTAAAACTAGTGTAATTATGTACAGATATTGTGAAGCAGAACTTGTAAAGTTTTTTCAAGTAAGCAAGACTTGTCACATTGTAATAAAATTGAAAGTCTCACCAGATCTATGGGAATTGCTTACAATGCCAATCAGTGGAGACTGTTTATTGATTCATCAAAGTGTAAAAGCAGTTGTTGTATTTAATGGAAACACAGATTCATCACATTTAGTGGCGTACTGGATAACACTGAAAGAGGCGTATAAAAACATAAAATTATTGCTCAGTTTTTTGAATTATGTCACAGCCATTATATTAGGGCTCTAAGAAGTGTATGCAAAATTTCTATGTTTTTTGTGCCCCTGCGATAGCAGAGCAGACTCTAAACATCATGTCAAGAAAGTGTGACAACCAAGAGAAGAATTCACATCAGAAAGTTAGAGCCAAATTACAGTCGTTGATAGAAGAACATCAAGTTTCTTTCCACCACTCCATATAAAATTGGGGTTAATGAAAACTTTTGTCAAGAGTATGGACTATACTGCCTCAGGATTTCTATATTTGTCAGACAAATTTGTGGCTAAAATTAAAATATTTTTCAAAGAAAAGTATTTTACTGATTAAAAAAACAAATCTGATCAAAAAAACATATGTTTTAGGGGTCGTCCATAAATTAAGTCACATTATAAGGGGGAGGAGGAGGTTGTTGGTTTTGAGACAACTTAAACAAAACTTACTTCTTAAGTGTTACAATTTTGTAAAGAGGAGGAGGGCAAAAACGGTCAAATATTTCCAGTGATTTATATACTACAATTTACTGGAAGTTAAAAGTTTCAGAGATAACAAAGGTGATTGAATGAAAAGTAACAGAGGCTTTCATACCCTTGTTAAACTCCATTAAGTCACCTTTGTTATCTCCCAAGTTTACAGCATTCCTTAGAAACCATTTTAACTTGAGCTTTTAGCAATGATGTAACTTCCTATATTGATCTTGATTGTGGCATCAAGCTGTTTGTAAACAACAGCAAGTTATGTCAAGCAAAAAAAATGGAAATAATGCACATTTATAAGTACATTTAAAAATTTTTTTAGAACAGTCATTGTAATTAGTGTAAATAATTGTATTATAAATAAACTATTAATGTGTTGCATCAGAAGGATTGTTGTGGGCGCGTCGTATATAATATTTTATATATCGTTTATACTGTTTATTATACCCTCCGGGGTATTTGCAAATGTATATATATTGAGTAAAGATATTCAAAAAGACAGTAAAAAAAAAAAAAAAAAATTTATTTATTATTACAAGCTATTTTGGCAATGAGTATTGTTATAAAGTTTGCGGATGTCACAGTACAATAGTTCGGGTGATTTTTTAGAATGGATACAGAAATTGGAACTGGTAGCAAAACTTCAAATAGTTGACAATTTAGTGCTCCCCTTATTTCTTTCTGGCAGGTTAATAGCATACGAAGAGTTCGTAAATTGCCGTCTTAAAGAGAACAAGTCTGTTGATGTATATCTCGCAGAATTAACAAGACTGAGCAAGCTAATATCATCTCACGTAAGCGAAGAGTAGATAAGGTGCGCATTTATTCTTGGATTACCTGACGAAGCAAGAAACAGCTGCAAACTACATGCTCAATATCATTCTATGTCGCTGTGCCAGATCGCTTAAAAATCAAGAAGTTTGGTAATCTTATGTCGCAAAGAATCGTATTTGTTAGTTGCATGAATCCTGTTGCCATTAGTTCAAGACAGGTTCTTCAAGGACGCGAAAAAAAGACTATAAAGTGCTACCGTTGCGAGGCAAGGATGGACATATCAGTCAAAACTGCAGCAAAGAAATTGAGAAGAAGTGTTTTGTGTGTGGAATGGACAATCACCTGGCCCAGCACTGTTATAAAAAGTGTACAAACTAAAAAAACATGGAAGGGAAGCCACACGTTTTTGTGCGAGCAGCTTCCCACAAAAATTTAAAACCCTTAACTCTCTGCGTATATATCAATGGAAGAAAAATAAAAGCATTGTTGGATACTGTATGCTCCAAATCATTTTCAAGTCGGGATATTGTAAACATAAAAATTGTCAAACATGCAAGCGAAAAGATTGTTATGATGAATGGTAAGTCAATTGAAGTAAAATACCAGACTGTTGTCGATCTTTCTATAAATGATACCACCATCGATTTGAAATGCCTGGTATCCAACATTGTTCCTGAATATCAAATGCTACTTGGTATGGACGCAATACGATTGCTCGGAGGTGCACAACTTGGGAGAGACAGCTAAACCATAAACTTCAATGTGGGGTAACTAACTGTTGGCGCTACTGCAGTCTCTCAAGAAAAATCAAATGATGTAACCTTGTCTACTATTCAAAAGCTGATTGATAAAGACTTTGTAGCAGAATTCAAAAATGGCAGTTGGAGCGTGTTTTGGAAATGGCTGATGGAACCACCAACTTTAACAAACAAAATTCCAAAATATCACATCTCTGAAGACGCACAGAGATAGCTTAATTATCAACTCAATATTGCAAAAACTTTTGATTTTTTTTTAGGCGACCCAAGTAATCCTTACGGTCTTATCACAGAGCATTGCAGAAGAACATTTAATAGAAAGTTCACACATCCTTCTGAACCGATATTGCAAAACTTGCCCATGAACCATGGATCTTATGTTTTTGAGGCAAGTGCACTACCACTGCGCCACAGCTGCTCAATTACCTCTCAATTACCTGCTCAATTACAGTTAATTACCTTTACATCCATACTCTTTGAACACTGATATCTCTATTGAATCTTTGAACCAATTTGATAAAAGTGTCTTTTAATGTGAAATTTTTCTAATCACTGTTCTTATGTTGCTGACAAAAAAAATTTTGTGGAAACATACTTTTAAAATTATTTTTCAGTAACAATTCTCAACTTTTTATAAGTCTGCAAAGTTTATGTTTGACTTATTTTAATCTTGACACTCTAGTGTGAATTCTTTAAAAAAATATATTTTTAATAAAAAAAGTTCAAATATACTTTACTAAAATCTTCAGTAAAAAATGTTTTTTATAAAGATTATTCTTTGATACTTTTGACTTTTAAAAGATACTCTCTTAAATGTTGTAGAATAAAGTTTGACCATTTTAAGGCATATAAAATTTTACACATCCTTAACTCACCTTTCTCTAAAGTAACTACAATAGAAGAGGCTTTTAATCAAGTTGTACTCCATCTATATTTGAATTTCTAAAGTTTTCATGTAGTTATAATGCTGCAATAAGTAACTTCAATACTGCAATTTTTAATTTCAATATATATATATTTTTTTATCATTAATATAGTTTTTTTCTTTATCAACATTAAACTTTGAAAAAGTAACTTGTTAAACAAGATTATTTTGTTAAGACACAAACAGGTTGTTTGCAGTACTTACAGAGGTATGGTTACTTTTTTCAAATAACAAATGTAATAATACACAAAAATTTTCTGCAAAAGAATTATCAATATATGGAACTCTTAACCTGTAACATCATCAACTCATCTTCCTTGCCTTTATTCAAACCAAATTTAAAAAATCAAAATACCCAACACCACTGTGTACTATATAAACCTGTTTCTTCATTTTATAAAAATAATTATTATATTACCTGTGTCACCATTCTGTAACTTTTTCTTTAAACACAAATAAATCAAAAGAAAAAATCCCAATTAGGTTGACATGTTAATATAAAACAGTGTCTACAAGACACATGTTTGTTATAACAACAATCCTTAAAGAGTGTATAATATCATTAAAACATTTGTACAAAAAGCAATTTAGAATAAAATACTATAAAATACTATATATAAATAATAATGATAAATGATTATAATTAACCAATACATATATAAAGAAAGAGGGATAGGTAGAGATAAAGAGAAAAGAGTTAAAATTGTTAATCCCAGTAGGATAGTTGATTTTTATTTAAATTTGGTGCCCATTGAAGCTCTATTACTGCTCTGCTGGTTGCTATTCTGTTGTGTAACAACCTTATTTTCTACTTTTCAACAAATGGCCACTACTTCAGAAAAAGTTTAAGATTTTAATAAAAATTATTTGAATTTGTTATAACAACTCCTATTCATTTAGATTACAATTATACTGCCATTAAAAATGTGAAACATGTGAACATTAATCCACTGAACACCATAATATCAAAATTAAAATTGTAACTCTTTTAGCCTAAATCTTGCATTTTTTAATAGAAAACAGAGGGAATGTTGGTCCTTAGAAATAGAAGTATTATTATCCCACTTTGCATTTCATTTAAACTCATGTTTAATGTAATCAACTTTATTAATTTTTATTTCTTCAGTTCAAGTTTTCAGCTAGAATAAGAGCAACAAAAAGGAAACATGCAGGAAACATCAAAAGGGGCTGTAAATGCAGTAAAATAGTGAAAGCTACAAAGAGTCCATTAGGACCTTTTGTAGCTTCTAGAAGTTTATAATAACTGCTATGGCATTAAAGAGTTTATGCCAAAAAAACATGATATTTCTCCCAGTTTACCAGGTTTACCTGGCTTTTTCAACTCATCAAGAAAAAGAACTCTGTATGTTTTTGTGATATTGTGTTATTGCAGTATTGTATTATTATATTTATATTATGTATATTGTTTTCCTTTATATTTTAGATAATATAATAAAAACCTTACTACTAAATTACTTGTATTAGTCTTGATTAGGTCTACAACAGTTTTTGATGTACATGTCTAAGTTATATTATAATCTTTCTATGGTACAACTGCAAAAATTAGTCTATTTATATTCTTCAACAAATAAGATACCATATATTCCACTTGGGATACAACCAAGTTAGCTGGCCACCAGAATATGGCATTGAGGAAACCAGAAGCCACAAGCTTGGCACAAAATACGGCATTTAATTGTCACACAGTTGGTAATTTCTTTAGCAAATTTATAAATACTTATGTGGTACAAGTTTTCTCCAATGTAAATGTAATACTGATAAACTTAGTACCACTATAGTATACAAACCTGCTAAAATTATTGCTGTGTAAGTATTAAAGCAGGTAAACAAAATATCAGAGGAACAAGGCTAATCGGTTATGGCATGAGCTAGCATCTGTTCTGCTACTGGTCACATGCCTTCTTTTATTATATTTTCAAGAAAAAATAGATCAGGCAGCAATGCAAACATATTTATTAGAGTACTTAACCATCAAGTTTACTGAAATAATAAGCTGCAGGGGCTTCAATTCAAACTTTGACTGAGAGTTTGGGTTTGGATTTATTATGGCAAAACAAAATTGCATTTTTTTTCATTATTTATTTTTTCTTCTTTTTCCGCATTTTAAAACTTTAGGTGTACAAAAAGTATTAGAATAGTGTCAACTTAAATACACTACAAAAATAACATTACAGCTTTTTTGCAAAGAGAAAAAAAAATGAAGAATAATGAAAAAAAAAAAAAACTTGTTGCTGCTACCCAAACCCTCAGCCAATGTATCAGCAACATTCTTGCATGTTCTTCATATATCAACATTCTTTCATGTTCTCCATAATACATATGAAAGTACTGAAGCTCCCAGTAGTTTCCTATGATGTGTGTGTGTGTGTGTGTGTGTGTGTGTGTGTGTGTGTGTGTGTGTGTGTGTGTGTGTGTGTGTGTGTGTGTGTGTGTGTGTGTGTGTGTGTGTGTGTGTGCAATTTATAAAAATGTAAACTTACCCAAATTATAAGATGATCACAAAGTTCATGATCCATTACTTTATTGTAACACAAAGACAACAAACTTAATTTAACTATTTGCAGAAACTTTTATCTAAAAAAATAAATAGCTAATATTAATACTATTATTACTACAACAATAAAAATTAAAAATATTTCATTTAATTTATCTATTATTGATTTATTGTGAGCTTGTTTAAAAATAATAACTATTATTTAAATTAAAAAATCAAATCTTTCTCTAAAAATTTGATATCAAAGTTAAAAAATATTTACAAATAGTATAAGCATAATCTTAAGTAAACAAATCCCTTAATATAAATAAAGATGTACCGCGCTACGTTGAACTAATTTTTAAAAATGATTCAAGTTTCTAATTAGTTTGCAAAACTTAAATGGTTATCATAAGCAATGACTTAAAGTAAAGTATTATAATAAATATTATAATAATTACCTAAAGTTATAAATATCATACGATGATGTTTATATTATATTATAGTTATATTGTTATATATATATATATAGTTATATTATGTTATATATGGTGATTGTTGCATTAAAAGTAAATGAAATGTATTTTTACTTGTGAAAATAAAAATTGTATTACTTAAAACTTTATTTTTTTAACTATTTATTACTTTTGAGGGAACAACTACCGTAGTATATTTTATCTACGGTGAATTACCGATTGTAATCTAACAATATAAACCATCTATTGATTATTAATAGCTGTAAATAATTTTTTTATTAAAATATGTTTACTTATGTTAAAGTAGAAATGTTTTAAAGCTATTTTCAAAAAAAATATTTACACTCATTTGAACTATCCCCGTAATTTATTTATAGTATATTACCGACACGGTGAGAGTAGATTTGAGAATTAAAAATTGTTTTCCTCGTTAAGGATTATAAGTAATTAACAATACATTAATTCATGGAATTACTATAACTTTCTAGTACTTCCATAATACAATTAACGGTTAAAGTTAATTATTAAGTAATTAATGGTAAAGCTGCTCATTTAATGATTGAATATTGGGGTTTGATCAGACAGCAAAAAATGTATTCAATTAAACTAAAAGCAAACCTAATTGAATGAAATATGCGCACCACACATTTGAGCATTTGATCGAAAATATTTCAATAAAGCAAAAATACTGAAAAAAAAAATTTCTCATTAAAGCGAAATATACCTATGTGTATGTATGTGTGTGTGCGTGTGCGTGTGTGTGTGTGAGTGTGTATGTGTGTGTGTGAGGGAAACGTCTTTTACCAAAAAAAGTAGATACAGACAACACGGCTTCCCCGTGTTGTCTGCTCTGAAATAAAGAGGGGGATTAAGGAGGGCTAACGCAGCGCAGTGGACCAGAATAGTCAATTTTGAGACAAAATTAATAACTAATTTAATATTAGTACTGCATTTACCAAATTTAGCCAGAGTACCAAAATGAGTTCTGTACTTCTTATGAAAGTAGTAACTTTTATATTTAGTTGCTTTTGATACATAATTTTGCAAAGCAACAACCTATTTCTGGGTAGTTAGAGATTTTTATTGGTGCTACGTACACTATATTTGACATTGATATGAGGTTTTTGCTTCTTAAAAAAGAGATTTTTTATATTTGGGTACTTAAATTTGCAGAGCGAAATAAGGTGGTATATCACCTATGGTTTATTAATTTTGCATAGCAAAACTAATTAACCATAGCAATATATTTAATTAAAATTTATATTAATTAAACAATCAATTTTTTTACATTTAAATTTATTACTTGTTTCCTAACAGCCCTAAATGCATTAAAACTATACATAATTTAGAATAAAACAATAAAACAAACAGAACTCATAACTTATTTATAATCAGGACAACATAAAAGTTTTAAAACTTAATAAAAAAATAATAATAATAATAATATTTTTTTTTTTTATTGCTGTTTTTCTTTAACTGGATCAGAAGCACAACAGTCATTTTTTTAATTACACTTTTTTTTAATTACAATTTTTTTAATTACACTTTTTTTTAATTACAATTTTTTTAATTACAATCTTCATTACATTTTGATTGACTTATTTTTCTTGCATGGTCTTGGCGATAACTCTTAATATCGTTATTTCAAGCCTTTTGAGTTTCTTTTTACAAAAGACCGATAGGCAATATCATTTTTTCCACTAAAAGATATCCATGAATTATTATTTTATGCAGACTTTGAGGCATATAGTACCAGGAGTAACATTTAACAAATTATCTGGCAGGTTTAAAACAATAATATCGAAACTTTAAAATACTTAATTCAAAACCACTGAAAATTTAACAAAGTATGCAATTTTTTAATAAGTACTGTATCAATTTCCGTATTTTTACTAAATACATCTTCATTTAAAAAAGCTATCCTCAGCATTCCTCACTACCACCTGCTCTTAATTGATCTACTATCAATGCAAAAAGCTTTATCCAAGAACCTTTTCTGAGTTAAACTCTTCTGCTCCATTACTGAATTCTTGGCTTCAAAAGATCTTGCTTGCTAAGATTAAATTTTTATTTTATATTCATTATGCAATAAGCATTCAAAGCATCTTATCCAAGAATGCAAGCTTGAAAGACTATAGTTGAGAATATGAGTAGAATACTTTTTTTAATAATAACTTCAATTTTATTCATTTCTGATCGGCTACATTCACTAAAACATGACTGACTAGAGTCAGTTGCGTTGGATTAGTGTGTGCACCTTTTCATCAATCATGATTTCGATATGGTTTATAATAGATATTTTTCGCCCTTCGAAAGCAATTATGGTTGGAATCAAATTTGCCATTTCATTTTTAATATTACTTTATTTTTTTTTGCATGAATTTAAGTGCTCCCAGAAGTCCTTACGGTCTTACCTTAGAGCACCGCGGGTGAGCATTTAACAGGAAGTTCACGCTTCCTTCCGTACCAATGTCGTTTGTTGGGCTAGAGCTGGGGTCGAACCTCGGACCTCTGGGTTCTGAGCCAGAACTCTAACCACTGCGCTACGGCTGCTCTCAAATTTATTTTATTTAAATTTATCAATCAACACAGATTTAGTTTCTATATTAAACTCAAAACTCAGAGGTTTACAATAAATAGTTCACAATGTTCACAATAATTAACACTTTAAATTTCTCCATAAAATAACTTTTTTAATCTACACTTATAGTAGCTCTAAAGAAACAACATAAGTCAAAAATAAAGAATTTACATTTAATAATTACGAGAACTGCTTTTTGATAATTTTTTTTATAAGTCCTTTGACTAATTGAACCATCAAATTAGGAATATTGCGTTGCTTTATCAAACGGAAGACTCTTCATGAATTGAGAACTGATTATTCCTGATACATTTCAAAATATTTGATTATACAGCTAAAAAAGAGTAAACAATATAAAATAAAATATGCGAATAGAAATAAGTAATAATGCGAATAAAAATAAGTAATAATTTAAAATCAAAAGTGACCTTAACTTAAGTGATAAAACCTTAAAGTTAGTTATTTCCATACGAGGAAGAGTGCCTTAAAGCTATTTCAGGTAGTCAGTTTTATCCTCATAGTCAGTTATTATCCTCATTTTATCAAAATTAATAGAATTCATCAACAAATATTTTGACATTTTTAAGTTACATCAATATCAAATATTAAAACCCCCTCAAAAGTTTTGCGGAAGGAAAGGGTAAATTCGTAGAAAAAGTTTCTAAAAATTCCTTTATATCTAGAAACTTCTAAAGAAAATAAAAATAACATAGATAGTTCTGTGAAATTTTCATTTTTTCATTTTGGTGTAGTTCCTCTGTATCAGGTTGTAATGGTATCACCCAGTGAGGACCGCACCCACGAAATGCAATGTTTGTTTTTCCAAAATTAGTTTGATAAAAAGGTTGCCGAACTAAACTGTCATTTCTCAAATTGTATTTATTTTTATCTTTCAACGTAAATAAATTATGGAAAGAAACTGGGGAAGGAAATTATTTTACATTTGTATATAAAACAAAGAGTATTAAAAACATTGAACTGATATATATTTAAAATTTTCATTTCAGATAAAAGAGGCCTGGTATAAGTTTATCTGTCTTTAAAATTGATAAGTCAAGTAACATGCTTCTGCTGACGATAAAGAGGTTCCAGTTTACTTTCATTGGCACTATACCAAGCAATACTTGCATAGTTTAAATGACAATGGATAAAAGAAAAATATATTTGTGTTAAATTTATTATAAATAAAGTTGTATTTGTTTATTTAAAGCATTTTTAGCTTTATACATTACTTCTATACTTTTACCAATTTTTTGTGCAAAAAATTAGTGTGATACTTTCAGCTAAGGTTTTCATCAACATGGACACCTAAATAGTTAGTATTTATTTTTGTTTTTATTTAGATTTTGTCTATAAAAAGTAAGGGCAAGTTGGGAGGCAGTAGTTTCTTTTTAGAAGAAAGAGTGACCATTATGTTTTATCCACATTTAGTGACAATTTATTCATTTTGAACCATTCACAAATTTTCGCTAATTCAATGTTCATAGTTTGAATTAATGTAAGAATACTTTTATGCAATAAAAAGAGATTAGTGTCATCAGCAAACATGACAGTCATTAAATTTGACGCTTTAGAGAGATCATTGATGTAGAATAAAAAACGTGGTCCGAGTATAATGCCTCGGGGAACTTCATAAGTTATACTTAATAAATTAGTTGTATCAGTTTCATTACTATAAACAAACTGCTTACGGTTGTTTAAACAACTTTCAAGTATCACTAAAACATTCTCTCTAATTCCGTAGTATTCTATTTTTTTAAGGAGAATTCAATGATCAATAGTGTCAAACGCTTTTGATAAATCTATGAAAATTTCCAACGTATATTGGGGCTTCTCAAAAGATTCAGCTATACTGCGAGTAATTTGAAGTATTATGTGTTCTGTCGAGTTATTTTTTTTGAACTTGTATTGATTGATATATAGTATAATATTTAAGGGTAAACAACGTTATATAAAGTTCTTTCTAAAACTTTAGAAAAAACAGAAAGAACAGAAATTGGGAGATAATTTGTAACATTGATTGGATTGCCTATCTTGAAAATTG